TAAATATAAACATATATATATATAAAATATACATATATATATATATATACATATACATATAATATATATATATATATATACATATATATATATATATACATATACATATATATACAATATATATACATATATATACATATATATATACATATATATATACATATATATATACATATACATATATATATATATATATATACATATATACATATACATATATATATATATATATATATATATACGTACACATATACATATACATACATATAAATACATACACATACAAAAACATATACAAATAAATACATACATATGCTAATAAATATATATTCATATGCAAATAAATACATATACATAAACAAATAAATACATATAATAATACATAACATAAATAATAAATACATATACATAAACATATCAATACATATACATAAACAAATAAATACATATACATAAACAAATAAATACATATACATAAACAAAAAAAACATACATAAACAAATAAATACATATACATGTACAAATACATACATATATATATCTGTCTCACCTGAGTCTTGAAGATCTTTACATTGGCAGCCAGCAGGTCCTTACGCTCCATACCCTCCTTGCGGGGCATGGCACCCACCAAGAAAGCAGCATCAATGTCCTTGAAAGCGACAGCTGGATCATCAGTGGGGATCACGTCTGAAAGTTTGAAGTGGATGTGTCAGCATTCTGTCTCTATGGGAAATTAAGAGGAATGTTTTTGCTCTTGGAAGACTGCTTTTGCCTCAAAAGGGGAGCATGAAAATCAGAGGGGAGAGGGGGGGGGGGGGGGGGGCAAGATAAGTCACAATGCCAAAGAAACTGACCTCTGACGCAGGGCAAGGCACAGTCACTGATTTCCATGCACACTCCATTCAGGACATTCATCATGGGGGTGATGTCCAAGAGGTGGAGGATGACTGGGGTCTCGGGGCCGAAAACAGCACCTGAGCCCACCATGTAGACCAGTGAGTAGCCGATCTGGCCGGCTGCGCCAGTCACACACACACGTACGGGTTCAGCCTGGGTGGGGAGTAATGCATTAAAAAGTGACCTCTTACTTGTAAGTGCAATTACCATTATCAATACTTGTACTATTGCTCTCCCTTTTACAGCATCATTTCCTTTTTTCTCTGTATGAATTGAATACCTTCAAAAAGGTTGCTTTTGCTTTAAACTAGAATCTCATCTGGATTATAAACAAACATCCCAAAAGTCCTGCCCAATCTTCTATCAAATAAATTATTCAACCTGACGAAAGCAAGTTTGACCAAGATACAAATCACAACAAAAGTCCTCTAGTTCTTTGATAAAAAGTAACAGATATGACAGCCACACACACATATTAAATAAAAAACCTTGGAGCATAAAGCCAGATATACTTGTGTACCCTTGCTACATGGGTTAAGGTTTTCTTAATAAAACACTATAAAGCACACAAAACATGAAGTAACACTAAGAAATAAAATATTAAATTCCAAAAGAAGGGGGTGTTCTCCCAACCTGAAAATACATCTGTACCAAAAACAGGTTTGCATTCCCTATTGTGCTTTTGAGCTGGAGTTCATCACACAAATGATGCACATGCAGAACTGTCACATACAGCTATGACATGAATCAGTGCATAGTCAGTGCTGGAAGAAGATACAGTATGCACTAAACAGCCAAGTTTATATTTATGCAGAGAGGGTGAAACCCTCACCAATGCAGTCCAAAGGATAGTCTTTGGTGATCTTTACTCTAAAGCATTGTTTTTGCTTCTTTGATACATATCAACATGGCACAAGTGATAACAGAGGCCATGTAAACATATTCCTTGGTGAATTCACTCAAGTAATTCTTAGCAGGACTGAGTATGGTTTTGGTATGGGATTATAGTTTTTTACCAAATTGAATTAATTCTGCTTTGGTACATTTTTGACAAGTCCTAACAATATGAGAGAGAAAGAGAGAGAGAGAGAGAGAGAGAGAGAGAGAGAGAGAGAGAGAGAGAGAGAGAGAGAGAGAGAGAGAGAGAGAGAGAGAGAGAGAGAGAAATGGAAACAAAATGAAGAAAGTGCCAAGACAATGACAAATTATATAAAAACAAATGAAGCAAGACTTCTGTAGTATCACTCAACCTGACCACTGTGTGTCCGTCACATTCTCAAGTCTCCCATGCTTTAATGACTTGTGTGTTGTTTGTGTGTATGTGTAAGAGAAAAACGAAAAGAGGAATGTTCCTGTGCAAAGGAAAGTGTTGCGTGAACCTGTCTGCAGTCTGTCAACAATAGCTACTCTCGTGGCAAGTGGAGTGAGGCCAGCTACATGTCCAACGAAAGATGCCCTCGATGGAGGAGGGTAATACCAGGTTAACATTTTGGAGGACAAGGGGAGCACCCATCGAGCAACCCTGCAACAAAAGTTCTTTAGGGTGTATACTTAGCCTAGGCTTAATCTTAGATCTTTTAAGATTGTGTGACTACGATTTTTTAATATATCTGATTCTATTTTGCTTAACCCATTGGCGCCGGGTGTCACGTATGTACATGCCATGGCAGTTGTGGACCAAATGCTGGGGGCATCATGCCATGCCCATTCCTGAGCTACTGGCTCGTCGGACGGAGGTTGTTTTTCTCCACTAGCAGCGGCTTCATTTATATGGTAAAGATTTTAGGCAATGGCACCTAAAGTGAAGGTAAACCTCCAAAATTTTAATATTTTTATAAATTTTAGAAAAATAAAAGCTTTTAGGTGCTTTATGTCGCTCGCAAACTACCGATCAAGCCGGGCGCAAACAGGGGAAACTGCCAGTGCGTGCCAACAAGCCGGCGCATACGTAAACTTTACAAAATTTTTACCCGTTGCTGATGGGTTAATATCATCTAACTGATCTTAGAATGAAAAGTAATTAACATTTTGGAAAATCCCTTTTTTACACATAAAAAGAGTGCATTGAGGCAACAATCTTTGTTGATATAAAATTCTTTGATTTTCATACACATGTATATTTAACCAACTGTTTAGTTTGAGATTTTTAAACATTCTTTTAGTCCAGATATGAAAAATTTACATAATCTTTCAAAAAGGTAAAAATGTTCTGGTCTGAGCAATAATTCAACCAATAATGTTTCATACCTCATGTGATTACGTGACTTTGCATGTACCTCCTCTTCTCCATTTCAAATCTTAGCCAAATCATCCTTGTGTTTAAGTTACAAATGCAAATTACATATTCTGCTTACATTTCAAGACTTATTTGTTGTGAGAGTGCAAGTAAAAAAAATATACTGAACTTCAATTAAAAAAAAGAAAAAAGAAAAAGAGTAATAGGTATAAAACCTCTAACTGACCACTTTAAGTCTACAGTTCTACTCTACAAATCTATCCGTACCTTGGCAATGCTCAGAAAACCCCACTGCCTATAAACTGCCATGATAGAGCTCACAGGCATCCCTGGCATTTTAATACTAAATGAGGAGCCAATTCGAGCTATATCTTGCCAGAATAGCACAGCAGAGGTTGTTAGCCTTGTGGTAGCAGAGGACAAACCATCACTTAGAGCAGTCCTAATACTAATAATTATAGAATCTGCTTCTACTTCAACAGCTCAAGGTAACTGTTAAAAAAAACTATTGTTTATGGTAATTCTGCTTGAAATTCCACTCTTCTACTTACACATTTAGGCCTACTTCATGCTAACCTATTCAGCTGAAAGTAGTTACATTCTGTGTATATCTAAGTACATGATAAAACAATGAACACTTGAGTTGACCTTAGACATCTGTGCCTAATAAAAGAACTAGGTCATGACATGTACATTCTCAATTCAGCTTTCTATTACCTACTTTTGTGGCCTTATAAGACATGTTCTTTATGGCCCTAATAAGATAAAGATATAAGAACCATGTACACATTTAGTTATTTTTCAGGCCCTTGCATTTCTTGGTACGTTGTGTCATGTATTAACCCACTGGATGCAGATGGCATAACATGCTGTATCCACTATAATTTTAGATTACTAATTGGGTTAACACAGCGATGGCTTTACAAGTGCCTAGTTACCAAAGAAGTAAATTAACTAGTACTAAGTTTCTTACATGTTTTACTTTTATTTGATTACTGGACAGATTCTTTTATATTTTACTATTCTTACTGCTATTGCTATTTCAAACACTTTATAATAACCAGAAAGTCAATTACATTAATAACTTGGGGGGGGGGGTGTCCCCCACAAATTCAAGGAATGAGGAAATATGACAGCCTATAATTGACTCCTTGGTGGCTGAGAACTTGTGGGTCCACCTGTTTGCAATAGAATTCATAAAAGCCTACACTGGACAGTACATAACCTGGAGGCCAAGTTAAAAATATATAGGTAGGCCTATTTTTATTACTTCTATCATTTGAACTGAAGCTTAAAGACTGACATGCTTATCGAATTTGTCGATCTCTGTTCCATGGATTATTTGGAAAATCTGTTAATTTTTACTATAACCTCTAAGAATTTGCAATGCAAAAGTACTATTGGCCATTGGGTCATAAGTTGTGTCGCCATGATTGCGTACGGTATTCAAACTACTGCAGTGTAATTAACCGGTGAAATGGTTTGTCAGTGGTATGATTTATAACAAAACAATTTAAGGATAAAATGGAAACTCTTACTGATTTGGTGCAGGACCATGGATTTGTTTTAAAAAACATTAGAGTGCCTCAAGTGCAAGCAACAGTGCAAATTTGATATTAAACATGTCTTCAGACCTCTACCCATCCTCTAACTGATTAAGGGGACCGTCCCGGAAAATGGCCACCTTTCCCTACTCTATACATCATAAAAATATATCGGTTAGAGATAACTGATTGATTCTTTTTGCATGCTATAGAGTAAAGAATTGCGCTCCGTTATATATATAAATTTTAATTTTGCTCCCCCATTGGGGGGGGCACCCCCCCAAAAGTCGAAAAAAATTGCTGTTTTTTTTGGTATGTCTTCGGTACATCCCAACTATCAGAGCTCTTTACAGAATATTCCCCCCAAAATACTAGTGTTAGATCAACTCTACTATAGCCATGTAAAAGGCCGAATTTTGAATTTCCTTTTTTTTTTTTTGGCGGGGGACAGCTTGACAGAGAACTATTTTTGAATTCTTTTTTCAGCATTAAAATTTTTTTTTTTGATTAAGGCAAAAATTCAAAAATCGGCCTTTTACATGGCTATGGGACGCCGAGGCTCTAGTGAAAGCAACAAACTGCATTTGGATCGCATGAAAATTACATGAGTTGGGATGTACCGAAGATTCATAAAAAAAATGGCGGAGCTACGGCGTTTTGTATTTGGCACCTTGCCAAAGTTCGTTATCTCTGTTATTTTTCTCTGAATCTAATGATATTATATATCAAAAAAACGCTTATTTAGTGTACTTTGCAATGCAATGATTACCAAGTCAATAGGAATTTTCATGTTCAATAGGGACGCTATTCTGTAAAAGTATGTCACTTTTTTTTTTTCGTTGTTCATTAAAGTTGATATTTTCGTGTGAAAAGCTTAATAAATGCATTTTACCATAGAGACCACTAATCTAAACCAGATAAAAACCTTTAAAAAAATATATATATTTTTTTATTTTCCATTTTATTTTTATTTTTTTTTTTTTTTTTTTGAAGAAATGGGGAACTGTGGATGGCAACATTAGTACAAAATCATTCTAATTATAAAGTCCTGGCATGAATACAACATGGTGGTTCAATTTTGAGAATTTCAAAAGCATATGAATTTAGTACATTGAATTTGAGAACTTACGAAAGTCGTTGAATATTCCCCATGCCTCACACATGGGGGGGAGGGGGAGATGGTCACTGGGTGTTTATAATTTTCGAGGAGGATCATATGTACGTGAACGCACGCACATAAAGTTAAAAAGATTAATCATCATCATTTAGTAGGCCTACATTGACTTTCATATCTAAATAATAAAATTTATTAGTTATCCCTCTCATACCCATTTTCTTTGATAATTGTCAATATTAACAGATTGCAAAGGAGA